TAGGTGAACTACAAGGACACTCAACTAGCTGGGGCGGAAAGTGGGCGTTGATTTTGGCAGGACCTCGCCGGTGGGCGGGGTAAAAAGCCGTCAGTTGGGCTGTCGTGACAACGCCCAAAGGACCAAAAGACAGTGGGTCGAAGGCGCAAATGTGAGTGAGCGAAATAAAAAACGCATATTTCGTAAATTTCGATGTCAAAGGCGGGAGGCAGGTCACAAAGTCGGTTTTGGATTCCGATTCGCAGGCGGGCAGAATCCAGGACCAGGAAAATTGGGGGCCCAGGATTTTAGGAGAGTCAGGTGCGTGTGCGGCACTTATGAGTGGCACTTAGTCTGGCCTAATACCCATCATTAGAGCATTTAACAGGAAACACGTGACGCTTCATACCAGTCGACCTGCCCCGCCCATTATCGCCCTCATTCCACTTCGAAAACTCCGGAACAGTGGCAGTCGGTGGAAAAATACTGGGAGCTGGGGGGTGTGGCACTTTAAACAGGGCCTACGCTTTTCACACCCGAAAAGGATTTGTCAAAGCTGGCTTGCTCCAATGGAGAATGGGGCATTCTCCTCCAGGCCAGACACAGTGGTCGTAGATGCCGCACTGATTGTGCCCAGGAAATGTAATTAATTTCGAATTTCATCCACGTTCTAAGCCGTGGAAGTTCGACTTGTGAGTACCGCGACTTACTGAGAGATTAGTAATTTATCGGCCATAGAGCTTTGTTTAAGACTAACCAAAGGATTATATAGATAAATACTTTACAAATTTATAACTATACTTCTTTTTATGCTACTCAAAACTTTCTGCTATTTGTGAACATAATTGAATAAAATGAGATAGTTGCTAAATTTTTATAAGTAGCAATTATAAATGATCAAAACTCTACAAAAATGATTTTCTTAATATTTGTAGATCAGCAAGCTAAAGCTTTAACACCCTTACAGTTAAAACTAGTACTCATCCAATGTCAAAAATGGCTTAAGCAATTTTATATTGACATACCACCTATCAGAAGATATAAAATATAAGTAGAAAATATAATATTAGTTATATAATATGTATAAATACACGTTTTCATGTTGCGGAAGATTACTAGTAAACCATTGGCTCAAAATATATAAAAGTCGCAATTCATCTCTATTAGGTTTTTATCTACCATTCCTCATTCAACATTTTTCTAAGTCTTCTGGTCAGTTTTCTCAGGATTGTTCAGCTGTGCCCTTTGTTTCAAAACAGTATATACAGTCACCTGACCAAGAAGAATTTTTCTTTTAATCCAGGGACTAGCCCACGATTTTTCTAATCAGTGGAATCAGTGGAATCAATGGTGGAAAATGTCTATCAAAAGTTAAAAGAGTTCCAGTCATTTTTTTATAATTAATAAATCTTATTTTTTATGAACAATTAATGCAATGGTTTATATTGGTTCCAATTGTTTTGGAAGAATTCGCGTGTCCTCGCCAAATGTTTTTTTTCAAATTATGAATTCGTTTGAATTCGCCGTGGCTCATTGAAATTCGCCGCGTTCATTTTACATTTATTGTACAAACTGCTTGACTTGACAGCAAGCAGTTAACTTGACAGCAAGCAGTGATTCTGGCGCCAACTCAGTGAAATTCAAACCGAAAGCACATTTTAAATACTCATTTTATTTAGTTAATATAAAGCTATTTCTGACTGCAGCGCCGTCAACGTTCGTTAAGCGTTTAGAAAAACCGTTAAGTTAAATATTTCCGTGTCTGGGTGTGGGTGGTTCTTGTGTTGTGTTTGTTGATTTTCGACTGTGTGTGAGGTTTTGTGCTTTTTGCTGGATTAAAAGTAGAAAATCTAAATCGAAAAATACTTGACTGACATCCGCCGTCGAGGTGAGGCGGCCCTCCATTTGGTACGAACTTTGTTTTGTACATTACGAATTAAGAACTATTCCTATCGAAAGTTAGTGCATTAAGTAGGCCACAAAGGCCAGGATGGCCAGTAGTCCAGACATTCCGGATCGCAGCGACGGAGCTCCGCCCGTCCGGCAGAAGTATTCCCCACAGTCCGCCTCCGAAATGGCCTTGTACTTCTCCAGGACATCGGACCACTTGCACAGGCCCACGTTGCACCAGTCCAGCTGGACGGCCTGCTGGTTGAGGAAGAAGATCACCTTCTCGGGATCCAGACTCCCGGGGCAATCGTACTTCACTGCCACGAAATTACTGGCAAACGGATCGATCAGGCTGGTCTTCCAGCGACGACTGGTCAAACTATCGTAGTTATCGGCCCTCAGTTTGATGTCGTCCTTCTGGATTCCCAGGGCAGTGAGCAGGGTCAGCAGACCCGTGGAGTGGGCAAAGTGAGCCACCACATGAGGCGACACCGGGTTGCTCAGGTGGGTGAGCATATCCTGTACAAGGCGGCAGTTCAGGTGCGCATTTTCGGCGAACCCATAGCCCGATCCATAGTAGTACTTAAGGTCTTCCAGATACTCGAAGACTGTTATCTGTTCAGGCAGGAAGGCGCCGCACCAAACGCTATTCCGATCCACCTGTAGATTATTAATTAAAATTTATTTAACCTATAAAACATGAGTTCTTCCAGAAACTACTCACATTCCACGCCTGTTCGTAACGGCACATATCGTACATCAGCTTGATATCATCCTCACTCAAGGTATACAGAAAACTGCGTGCGAATAAGAAGGGTTTTATTTAAAGATTCTTTAAAGATAATATAATAAACTTACCCCAATCGAGTGGAGATGGCCGCCAAGGTGTCGTTATACAGTTTGGACTGATGGAACTTCTGGTACTCGGAACCCTCGCCCTTGTAGTTGACGTTCTTGAAGGAAGGACAAAAGTCATAGGGACGTAGCAACAGATCCTCCTTGGGAATCTCAACCGGATGGGCGGTATTCAGAGATCCAAAGAGGCCCTCGGCGAAGGCCTTGAAACTTTCCGTGGTGCGCTGGGTGTCCGTGTGACGGAACTGCGGGAGATTGATTGGAAATAATACAACTTAAGATGTATAACAAATATGTGTATCGTAATAGAACCCACCTGGTAATAGGTATCGTTGAAAGTGGGTGGCAGTACACTGGGGTAGAACCGCTGATACAGCTTGGCCGTGCCCCTGAGATCCTCGTAACCCTGGGCGGTGAGGTACTCCTCCATGTCGGGCGTTATGCTGCTGTTCCACTTCCAAAACTTGATGGCAATGAGGTCCGTCTGGCACAGCTCATCCGTTTCCGGCTTGGTCTTTGCCACTTGATAGTTATTCACAATGATATCGCGCAGCTAAATATGATGGAAAATTTTTATGATTATTTCATAAAATTACATTGGTAAACACAATAAACAATAGCCCTCTAATATTCAATAATAAATTGCTATTACTTGTCTTGAATACAAATGATATGTTCATTGGAATTGTAACGTCGTAAATCTAAACAGCAATAGCTCATATTTGTTTGTTATACGCGAAAACCACTTCCTAAATGAGCAGCTTGTCTAGTAATGAATTGCTGCTTGGCAATAAACGAGATATTTTAAGATCAAAGGGAATTTTAAGATCTTTTAGAAACATATTTTGGCATATTTCTGAAATATAACTATAAGATCCAGGAATCTAGAAATCTAATACCGCCAAATACAGACAAGAAATGTACATAAACGATAAATTATAATATTTAAGTGAAACTGTACCCCCTTTTACAATATCATATTGTAATAATAGTAATATAATATTAGTAGTGTCCTTAGAAAGTACTCACCTCTCCCACCCTGGGCGCCTTGTTGATCATGCTCGCCTTGGGCAGCCGAGTGCCGTGCCTGTGGAAGATCCATATCTTCTGGGGCTGGCACCCCGGTACCAGGTACTGCCTTTCGATGTCCGTGCCCTTGACGATCTGGTAGGCGGTCTTCGAGGAGAACTGGCGGGTCTGGAGCCGGGAGGTGTCCTTGCTGAAGCAGTAGTCATCGCCTTGGGCGATGGCCACCAGTGGCAGCAGCACGAAAATCAGCAGGCGCATGGCTCTGGGGAAATTCAGATGGAAAGAAAGTGGAGATTGTCAGATGGGAGGCGGAGAAAGGGTTGTTCGAACATTAAGTGGCCCAGCCTTCGGTCGGGCGCACATCCTTGAACTGTCGTCCTGTCCAACTGGCCGTGGCTGCCCTAATGGACACGACGAGTGTCATATGAGGAGGCCACCTGGTTACCACCCAACTCAGACAGTGGAAGGTGTGGCATTTAAATTGCTTCGCTGGCGTCTGGCAAGGAGCTTGGCAAGACAATCTGGGAGGGGCCCCACAGAATCGAATCGAATGGAAATCCAGTCGGAGTTCGGAGGAAATGCCAGCACACACGCACCCACACTCGAAAAAAACCAACCCTTTGAACTTAAGGTTTCAAATAAATAAATAACAAATTAGAGTATATGGATTTTTAGCCCAAACTTTCCAGAACTTATACCAAGCTTTTAAAATTAAAAACGCTTTTTCTAGTATACCAAATTTGATATCAGTTCGACATATGTTGAGTACATTCTCCTACATTTTTCCAGAAGTTAACCCTTATTTTTCTGAGTGCTCTGAACCGTCGCGAAAAACTAACCTAACTCTGGGCCTGAAAATTAGGCTAATGATTTTCGCTTGGCCCCGCTGACAAATTGCTGCAGTTCTAGTCCTCCACGTGGCTTTTAGTCATCAACCCATGTCCATCAAGCGACCTCCGACCTCCGACCCTTGTCCCCACCTTCACACTCCTTCCCCAATTAGGTCAGGCCAACAAGTTGGGATTGCTCATAGATTGCTCATAAAAGATTGTAACGTTTCAATTTTAGGGGCCCGCATCCAAAATTGATTAATCAACCCAGGGAATTTCGATGAGGTTACAATAGCTCATTAACAGCATGTAACACAAGATGAAATTGGTTGAATACGAATTTTGAGTGACAAGCTTGCCCGTCTATTTACTTCTAAAATTCAATTCCAAAAGGGAGTTTCTTTCAGAATACAAAAATCAAAATGAGTTTGAAAAAGAAAGTGTGCGGTCTATGGTGCAAGCACAAGCCTTCGGAAAACCAAAAAGCATTGGCCTTAGCCTTGTAAGTGTGAATGAAAAGCAAAAGTACAGCATCCACTGAAGGACAAAAGTTAGCCAGGGTTGCATCCTAAGCAGAGTTGCCAGCCTCACTAAAAAAACACTATATTTCCTTATGTCCACAGTGTGCCATCAGCTGCCACCTTTGGACTGGCTGCAGCTTTGGCTGTTGTTTACTATACCGATTGGAAAGTAATTGCCGGATGGATTCCCCTATATAACACCAAGTTTCCCAAACCCGAAGATCCGAAGAAAAAGAAGAAATAGGAGATGAGTGCTGCCGCTTCACTTATTTTTAGTCTCTGTGGTTGAACAAAATCAGACTTTTGAAGATCGTGCCTTTCCCTCGAATATAATTCAAATAAACGCTTTTACTGGCATTCAATATTTTCAATGTAATTTTGCCTTTTGCGGTTAATGTTGCTTATATTTCGGAAATGCATTTGGTGGAACACGCTTCCAAAATAAATAAATGCTCCTGCCAGTCAAAACACAAGCCGAAAGATCAACAAATAAATTGTTGCCACAGCACCAGAAATAGATGATCCGAAAATCCCCCAAAAAGCCCCTTTAATCCCAAATAATACAACTCGGAAACTTGGAAACAAATTTGGGGGGTTTTCTGTTTACAATTTCGCCCCCATCGTTCGCTGGTAAATGCAGTTGGGCAACCTGTTGCATGAATGATATGGAAAACAAATAAATACAATGGATATGTGATCCTACACACCGAAAAAAATTATTTAATCAAATCGGTTCTTTTTTAGATAATAGCAAATATAGATTTTTTTTTAAAAAAGAATTTTAAAGCATACCAAAAAAACAAATCAATTACTTTGAAAACTGATTCAAATTTAAAAATAATTTTCAAGCAGGACCCGCAAATGATTATTATTTGTAACTATTTTTTACAAGACCACTGTGAATTTTACGTAAAAATGTCAAAAATAACACTTTTTTTTCGCTTGCTCACAAATTACCCAAATTGGAAATCAAACAAAAATCTAATCTGTGGCTAAGAGCACAAACAGTTAAAAATTAGACAAATTTAAAAAGAAATCGCAAGTAATGACTACTTTTCGGTCACTGATTTTACTAAATACAAATAAAATACTGTGTACATATAAAATTTAGGATTATAAATATTTCTAAAATTCCATTGAGATTTTCTCTCAGTGCATCTGTGACGTCAGTGGCATAGCATTGACAGCTGCAATTAGCTTGTGAAATTTCCAATTACATCCCATGTGCGGAAGGCCAAAAAGCGATCTGACACACGCATCTAATTTTGCTGCCTCCACAGCCATCTTTGCATTTTCAAGTGCAAATAATTGCCTCACATTCACATCGCATCCATCGGATTGGTTGCACTTTTCTAGCGATCCCAGAGTCTCCTCGATATTATACGTATAGTATGTACGATCCGAACTGCGATCTGCGATCTGAGATCTGAGACCCCCTCCTTAGGCACTCCCCTAATCAATTGAATGCCCCTCCTTTGTTTGCATTTTCAACCCATTCCATTCGATCGGCATTTTTCTAGTTTTGTGTTTTCTCAATGCGAAATTAAAATTCCAATTTGGCTGCCATCTCGTGTTTACTTAGCTGGCTTTTATGAACTGGGGAGGCAAATTGCTCCAGCTTTTTAGCCCACTCCCACTCCGCCCCTCGTTTGTAAAACAGATTCGCCAACTTGGAGAACTAATTTAATCTGTGAGTAATATTTAATATTTGTTTGAATTTCCCTATAAAAGTGTGCGTGACATTTGGCTAATTTGTCTGATTGTGTCTATCTATATGCAACACCCCTTTATTATGCACAGAAATATAACGTGATTAATTTGATAGCGATTATTTATAGAGTAAATTGCCTCTGATTTGCAAGATCAATTGGGATCCTCACTTTTATCAAAATTAAAACAATATTTAAAATAACATTTCCTTTCAATATATTCTTTGTTTTTATATTCCTAAGAGATATATTTTTATAGATTTTTTTAAATATCCCTTCCAAAGGTATTAAAACTATACATTAACAAATATTTTTTATAGATATTCCTATTCTTTTTTTGTGCACCCAATTTTCCTTTTAAAAATTCTTAGTTTTCTAAGAGATCTATTTTTATAACTAACTATAAATTTATATACATTTTTTAAAATATCCCTATTTGTTTCGGTGTACCCTTTTCCTTTCAATAAATTCCTAGTTTTTATATTTCTTCGAGATCTGCCCTCGTGCCGGTTTCATTTGTGGGTTTCGGTTTTTTAGAGCATAGCATAAATCAAAACCAGAAACTTATTTTCAGTTGCTGTTTTTCTGCTGTTTCCATTTTGCTTAATTTATTGATGTGTTTTTTCTATTCCCCATTTTTTTTTGTTTTCATTTTGGGCAGTCTGCAACAAAAGTCATTGTCAGTGGACCCAAAATCCAATTCATCATTTCACCAATTGATTTCTTCAGCACACACTGATCGATCTGGGATCGTTGAACTTCTACAGGGAAATTAAATAATTTCGATTACGAAACAATTCAGAGATGTGGAGCAGTGAGTGCGCAGATACAGATACGGATACTTGCATCAATTGCTGGCCAAGTTAATTGATTACACACGCAAACAGCTGGCTGGTGATTTTTGTGAGCGTTTTCTTAGCGTTTTTCACAGCTGCCCGCGAATGTTTCGGCTTACAAAAAAACAAATTATAAAAGGAAAAAATAAAAAATAAATATAAAATGCTAAAATCAAAGTTGAGCGACTACTGGGCATATTAATTAGCATACGTGTGCAAATGAGTGGCGGGAGGAGGGCGAATGCCAGGTCGACCAATTATCGTAATGATGCTCAAGCGCAATTCACTTTAAACACCCGACACGTCCCCGGATAATGGGGCATATATCATGCACACCATATAGAACCGAGATATTACATATTTATGGCCAGTCTTGGGCGACCGGAACATCCATGTTTCGAGCACAACATAAAAAACATTGGGACTTGGGACTTGGGACTTACAGAAATACCTACTTAGAAAGACAAGGCCACCATCTAGTTAATATGCAGACATCGAATTTCTCCGGGAAGACGGATAATTCCTAGGCCTTGCGGAATCTTTAATTGAAAGCGGTATACCCGAAAATTGTCTGGGAACATTAAGTATTTAATTTATCACCCCAGAGGTCCCAAGGCGACCTTACCCATTACATGTCCAATGGATGGGATCTCGTCTGGTCTGTGTTTTGTTGGAAAATATTCTAAAATATGCCGCCTGCTTGACCTCAGCGAGACATCTTGGAATTTTGAAAGAGTTTAGGAAAGTATTTATAGGGATAGCTCTGTGGCAGGCCAAATATCTGACGTCGTTCGAGAATAGAATTGCTTCATTTCTAATGATATATTAAATAATGCCCATTAAAAAGCGTGGAAATTGCTGACTGCCAACCGAAACTATTTTCGTCAACAAACAAGGAAGGAAAAGGGGAGAATGGAAAGTGTTTCGGTTAAGGTTAAGTGATCAACGGCGAATGCCAAAATGATTTTGGCACTGTATCAAGAGTGAAAAACTTTTGACAAATTCAGCAATTTATTTGAGGCGAGTGGGGAAATTTTCAGGCATAACAGATCGTGAGAAAGTCTCCCTATAGCTCTCTCAATATAAAAGTCGATTATAAATACCCAAGCACTACGTAATTGAAAAGCTTAGTAAATAAAAACTTGTGCAACTTGGTTGAAGCTATTAAAAGGCAACACTGTTTCTGAAAACCAAAGAATAGAATTTTCAAAGAGCAAAAGAAGATCGTCCGGAAATCATAAAAAAAGATAAACACATGTCTGAAAAAATAGATAAATACCTCTATAAATTTCTCAAATCTATTTAAAATACGGTTCTTTGTTTGGGATTAAAATAGCATTTAAACATATAAATAATTTATATCATATATGATATGATTTTATGTAGAAACGTGTCTTAATTACAAATCCAGTATTATAAGGTGATACTAGAAATGTAATAAACCTATTTCTTGTTAAAATTGTTTGGGACCTTGAGATGGTAGAACACAAACATAGCGCTCTTTATATACCTCTTGAAGGGCCAAACCATTACGTACAACTTGTGCAATTTGGCTAAATCGATTTCAAAAGAAGGGCAGATGGAAAAACACTGCTATGGCAACCGACAACCGAATTTTCCGAGAGCCACTGATCGCGGGCAAGAAAAACGCGCTGAGGAAAAACAAGTTAGAGTCAATGTTCGTTAGCCTGAAACCGGTTCTCTAGGCCTCTCTGTCGGCCGAATGTTTGTGAGTTTGCCCAGGTAGTTGGTAGTTGGCCCACATAATGGGCCGAGACCCACCCACGTCCCTCAGGTAACCGCAAGTGGCTCAAAGCATCGACTATTGAAGCCGTCAACATATTCGGACAGTAAAAACCCTTGGGAATTCTGAATATTTTCCAGGGGCTCAGCCCTAGAAATTCGAGATTCGAATGTGAGTAGAGGTCTCTGGAAATAAATTAAATATTTAATGTGTCCCCAGAGGTCTTTGGTATGGGATACAATGGCGTGTCCAGGCGGGAGTCGCGTGCCCAGGGACCAACTAATAAATCTGGTAATACCCCCAAGGAGTTGGGCGTTGAAAGTCGCCCCAAAAGAACCATGACAAGACACTTGTGTCAACTATTTGTTTGCGTAATTTGTTTATCTCTGTGCTGCTATCCATTTTAATTGCACGAACTTGGATTAATCTCCGTGCGCCGGGGACCTAATTATTTTAAGCGCGTTTTTAAACGCGTGCAAAACGCACTCGGCTCATTTAAATCACTCAGCTGATGCGGACGGCTGCCACCTGCTAATTTGATTGCCCAGCCAACAAAACGCGATTTGGCCACAAATTCTGGCACAAAAAGATTTGATTTTGAACCTCTCATAGGGCTTGTTGCACAGGGAAAAATACCTTTTTAATTTATATGCCTTTACATATATCGAAAATATATAGAAAAAATGTTTGCATCAAAAGAACAATAGTTAAAACTTGATTTATAAAATATATTATTATTTAATTTGAACTTCGTTATCAAGCAATTTTTAATTGATATATAATCTTGTGTCGATTGAAAAATACTTAGTAAAAGCTTATGTATCAAAGGCACAATAATTAAATCTTTATTAATTAAAATAATAACAAAATTTAACGCACATCAACAGTATTAATATTTTATTTACATTTTAACTTGATCTCTGCAACTATTAACAACACTCACAAATTTTTCTTAGTGTTTTCTTCAGGGCGAATACAAAATAAAGTCACACGCTGCGTGGAAATGGAGACCGAAAAACTGAGAAAACCAGAAAAAACAAATTCGTTCCCAAAACTGATTAATGTGGCCACCTCAAGTTTCCAGCCGTTTTCATTCATATGCAAAATGTCGAATGGTAACAATTTAATACTATACTATTTCGCTGAGCTCATCACGAAATCGACAAGACGAACAAAAATAAAAACAATAATACGTTATTTGCTTAGCCGTTTGTTATACAACAATTATAGATGACTGCCGAACAGGTTCCCCAAGCGAGTTCCATCCACAGATTTGCGACTGAGAACTACGAAAATAAACACAAACCGCAGGTGCAACTGGGAAATATCTGGGACTGATGGATAGAGTGCAGTCTAGTGGTTCAATTAAGTGCTATGTAATTGCCAGTGCCAAAATGATCGCGACAATTTCTTGGCGCAATCTATGTGTATTTCATTCAAATGACGACAGTTAATGGCATCATAAATTGTGGGAATTATGCCATTTAGCATAATTTGTTGTGATAATACACACACACATATGCACACACGCACCTATTTGGGTAATTTAAATGCACGGGTTAAACAATTGAAGTTGGTCAGTTTTTTAACCGATTCGAGCTAGTTTTACCGCTCGCAACGACGCGACCGCTCACCGTTTGAAATGGAACTGATGAAACCGCGCGGAAACCGCCTCCCCAAGTTAACAGCAAATGCTAGCGCTAACAGCGGGCCACAGAATGTGACGTCAACGCCGGATGATGCCCTCAGCGTGTGGAACGTGGTTGTGAACACCGATAAAGATGAAGATAAGAGATTACAGTTTGTAAACAGTTTGCGTGGGTGAAAGACCTCAGGTGAGATGAAGATAACGACTAAAGATAACTAAAACTGTACACAAGCACGCAGTAAAGAGTACAAATAAAAAACAAAGTGACAATTTTAATTATTTATACATTCGGAGGGGTGGATTCGGAGTAGGTTTTCCAAATGATCTTAACGCCCATGAACTAACGTTAAAATAATATGAACAATTTTAAAATTTCCACGAGAATGTTTTTATTGCAGTAGAGGTTTGTTGGCTTCCCAGACAGCATGTTTCTATGATCATGGAGAGCTCCTTGAAATACCCATTCGTAAGGATCTCCTGCGTGAGATTTTGTCTTCGAGAAATTGGATCCATAAAAAGTGCTATGTCTAATTCTTTCAAGCTGTTGCTTACAGCGAAACCATCTACTCTTTCTACACAAGGTTAGAACTAAAAAAATTCGTAGTATCGCAACCACAGATACCAATCCAATGTTATGCCACCGCTTTCAAATCAAATTGTTAATCGCTCTTTTACGATCTTAAGATTGACATGTTATCATGAATACGCGAAGACGATCTTACAGCGGTCTTGGCGATGGACGCAAAGCAGGAAAGGTAGGTATTCACCTGACCAACTCCTTTCACAATCCTGTATTCTCGATCCTGAGTAAGACGATGGAACCGAAGGGAAGCCAATATCCAATTGACCTTGGTGAAGTGAATATTTTTATAAAGTTTAGCATTCAACTACTTTTAATGTAGTTTAATAATAACAAGTTGTTATTCACAGCAAGTGCGATTAAATGCCTTTCAAGCTACTATGCACTATGATAACAAACATATTTCTTTGATTCATAAAATTTTTAGTTTCCAAAGTGAAACCATAAGCAATTATTATGCAAAAACAATTTTGATACGTTTACCTTATCTGATATCCATGAAAATTCCATTCCCTTGTTTATTAACAGCAGAATACAAAATAATAGAGTCATGTGATAAATATATCATTTTATCAACGCCAATACTTTTGTAAAGTCGTTGTTTTGATTTGAGTTAGAGTACTTAAACAATAGCTAACAATAGATGACCACCAAAGTCCACCTCCACTGAGAACAGACGTTCAAGTTTACTACCCAGGCGGCACTAATCGCATTTGCTGATAAGAACAACATCTACAAGGAACCAGCGATCCTTAGTATAGATTTCGTCTGAAATATCATCGAACTTTTCCCTCCAGCAGATAAGTAATTGGCGCAAAACTGTTTTTTGTGTGAAGATTACAACCTAAAACGATAAGGACACGACATTCTCAAGAGTTACCGATCAATTAATGCCATTTAAACGCCGTACTCGTAATTATGACGTTATTGGTTTACGTAATTTCTATGGATTGAGATTGGGCATTTAAACTTTAAAAAAAGTAAGCCCTCTAAACCTGATAATAGGCTCACAGTTATTACCAATTGGAATTTAACAAGAAAAGCTATTGAAATTTATCAGTACTCATGTGTACTTACGTAGGTAACGTCTAACTAGTACCTTTTTTTGATTACAAAGCGTGTGATTTTGTTATATTAGCCATATATTATAACAGAAGAACAGCTCATACACAGAGGGAAAATGAAATGAGATATGATGATCATTTTGTTGATATGATGATCAAAAACATTATAAATTAACCATGCAAAAATTTTTTCCCTGTGTATAAGCTAAGAAATAAATATGAGAACTTTAAAGCTTTTAAAAGAATATATTTGATTTCAATACAAGAGTTCATTACACTAGGTGCTGAAATAACTCAAAAAATGTTACACTTCATGATGAAATGTATAGATTTATACATATTTGACAGGCAAGCATGTGATGCAGTAAAAAAATAATTTCGGTACTTAAATGTATAGTTTACATTTATTAATTATACATTTCAGAAAGTAATCCTTTTTTACAGATTTTAAAAATACCCTAAGTATCACGATATACATATTATATATTTTTCCAAAAACATCGATATATGGCGCCAACCCGTCCATTAACAGCAATGTTAAGATATAACGTTGCTTTGTTTTTTGTCTCCCTCTCTTGCTGACACTTACGTTAGTGCTATCTACCTCTTTTACTGATACTTACGTTAGTGCTATCTCCTTCCCTTACTGACACTTAAGTTGCTGCTATCTCCCTCTATTACTAACACGTTTCTGTCACTTACGTTTGCTGACAAACGATAACAGCGATATATCGGGTGAAAATATCGATTCACTGATATTTTGAAATATTTTTCACATCCCTAAATACAACAACAACAACAACAGCAGCACTCGGAGATAGTTCTGGAATTTCGTAGTTTTAATTAATAATAAAAGCAAATTTCGAAAAGCAAAGCAGCCAATGTGAGTCCCCTCAAAGCGACGCTACTACGAGTCCATCAGTTCGAACGGGTTCACTCATAATTTGCCATTTTTCCGCCTTTCCCCCAAATCGGTGCTCTGCAAACGAACGAAAAAGATGTCGGACTGGGACTCTGTGACTGTTTTACGCAAAAAGGCACCCAAATCGTCGACCCTGAAGACGGAATCGGCGGTGAATCAGGCCAGGCGACAGGGAGTCGCCGTGGACACCCAACAGAAATGTGAGCGCCGGTTCCAATGGGACTCCGGTCCCCCCTTTTCCAACCCCCCTTCCAACCACACCACTGTCGTCTAACCTAGAATCACCTCCTGCTGCATTGCGTGGCATTTGTTGTGTTATTTGTGTCATCGCTGCGCCGATTTCACAACTGCAATCACACATTTCACGGGGCTCGTGTAAATCACCTCTAGTAATGCCCTTTCTACACTTTACCCTATAAACAGATGGTGCTGGCACCAACAAGCAGCATGTGACCACCAAGAACACTGCCAAGCTGGACCGCGAGACTGAGGAGCTGCGCCACGACAAGATCCCCCTCGATGTGGGCAAGCTCATCCAGCAAGGACGCCAGGGCAAGGGTCTCAGTCAGAAGGACCTGGCAACTGTAGGTCCAAATCCCACTTAGCTACTAGCAATCCCCATTTTCCTATTGATTCATTTCATATCAGTCGATTTTATACATTCTTATTTGGGATAGGTCGTAGATTTAATCAATTTGATAGCAATAGTACTTTTTTACAAAGCTTAGTTGAGACTGCAGTAAAAAAAACGGTTTTAATTGAGAGAAAATGTATAACTTTTCCTTTTCCATTAATAGCTCAATCATAATGACACCAAAAGCTTTATTATTTCAAGACTGTCCTAGCGCGTGTTTTTAGAAGATTTCTAATTATCATAAAAATTTCAGCTTTCACTTTGAACAGTGACCAATAAAACCGCTTTATTTTTTTAAATATAAAAAGTAAGCAAAATTTATTAAAACAGTGGTTAATTAAACAGAAAAACATTTAACAATGTTAACAGATAATAATGATAGTGCCAGTTAATTAAAGAAAAATAACTTAAGTCACTTTAAACTTTCCCATTTGTTATGTAATGTTAAAAACTTGAATTATTGAATAACACCCACTTAACTCGAACCTAATCTCTTCCAGAAAATCTGCGAGAAGCAGCAGGTTGTGACTGATTACGAGGCCGGACGCGGCATCCCGAACAATTTGATCCTGGGAAAGATGGAACGCGTTCTTGGCATGAAGCTGCGCGGCAAGGAGCGCGGCCAACCAATAGCGCCTCCCGGTAAGAAGTGAGACGATGCTGCCGCGTCCGTCGCTAGTGGTGCTTCACAAACGACCACCTCAGCACGCAGCGCCCGGCAGCAGAACCACCAACACCCGGATTCTGGAGGCTGGAGCACTGTCAGCGGCAGACGCAAATGAAGCATTATCGGGAGGCTGGAGAACCAAACCAAATCGGGTCTAACAGCAGCAGCTGCAGACGCAGCAACACACAAAAACCGAAGATCCAACTAATCACCACTATGAGCGCCAACTTCGCCATCGTTTGTCCAAGCTAAAAAAAGTTAGCGAGGTTCGCAGCGCTTGCCACTTGTCAATCTTTTACCGATAAATTAACCATTGTAATTACCCAAAATACACACTCTCACACACACAATGCACACAACCAGGAAAATGGAAAAACGAAGTCGGACGGGAAACGCAACATTATCTGATATTATGCGCTCATAGCTTGGACAAGTGTTTTTCGTTCATTTGGGCATTAGACTTTGTTTTGAAACTTGATCTAAGTTATGGAATTAAAACCAAGACATGAAAAGCATGGAAAACACTCGAATTTCTTTCAATCTTATCATCCAATCAGCCGTACTCAAAATTTGCATTAACCACTCATTACCATCCAGCTAAAACCATTGAGCACACATTAAATGATATATGCAAATTCTTAGAGCTTAGTCGGACTTTCCCTCTTTTTGTAATTTATCGTGTAAGGGTATTAAACGGTGCGTTTACTAATGCATTATACATATTATACAAGAAACATATGCTAAATGTATTTAGAAACATTTTCTAGTCTACAAAATATTTAAATATTTAAGTGATGGCATTTTTTCGATGTTTATTTATTTCCCACTGCCCAGCCCCATTCCTCCGCAGCTACAGACTGCAATTCGGAGATATACAATTCAAATCCCATAAATGTGTAGGAAAGAGACTTCTTTTATCTCGTAATTATCAAATAAATGTTTTCGGCCATCTAAACTACATTTAATGGTAATCCAAGGCAGTTTTATTGGGTGTCGAAATTGCTTTGAATGTCAGAAGGTGCCGGCTTAAATTTACTAATTAAGGTTTTACTAGATGGAATAGATTTCTAAAGTTCTGCCGAAGAATAAACCAGAAAACAGTTGGAATATATGCCGGGTAACACATCACTGAAGACGGACTCCAATACGGTCCGAAACATGTTAAGCGAAGCGGACATATAAAAATTCCTTTTGCCATATTGCCGTATATTTGTTGCAGATTTGTATATAAATAATGCGTGATCTACAGGATATAATAGTCCGATCCGACCCGTTTCGACTTATATTCCACCTGCAATAGAAAGAAGACTTGGGAAAGTAGTATCCCGATAGCTTTACAATTGGGATAGAAAACAACGGACGGATATGTCTAGATGCTGATCAAAAGTATATATTCTTTATAAGGTCGAAGGTTTCTCCTTTTCTGCGCTGCAAACTTCTAGTTGAAATTGGGTATACCAATTGCAAGTAATAACAGGAACTTTAATTGATATGAGATTCGTTATCTGGCTCTTCAGTGCCCTTAGATTCGTAATATTTAGATTCATTAAATAAATAAGTTGATCGGGTTTCTAATCAACTAAGCGTATTTTCTAGGCGAAGGCTATGCTCGGGATCTCACTGGCCGCATTCTTCTGGATAAATATCTTCAGGGCTCTCTCAAAGTTCCACTCGGCTTCTTCAACAATCGAAGTGCACCAAGTTGAAATGAGCCCGGTAACCTCTTGAAACAATAGCAGTTTGTGATCCTTGACATCCAGGGAGTCCTCTTCCACCGAACGCTCACTGGGATCCGGGTAATGCACACTGAAGGCGTTCTGGATCATAATTTTCGAGGGATTCGTAATGTGTAGAATTTCGTTTGTGATCTTTAGGCGGCGAGCTCTTTTACCCAAGCCCTGGAATGTTGAACAGTTCTAAAAAAGTTCTAGATGGTACTTTTTTTTCCTCACTTACCAGGCCCTCCTCATCGAACTTGACTATGAACTTGCGGCTGAAGCCCAAAAGGACACCGCCGATGTCAGGCCTGTTACCATGACTGATCTTCGTGATCGGCGGCTCATCGCGTAGCAAACCAGTCACGTAAATAGCAGCCGATTTGCCATCATAGTGCATTACGTCCGTCTGCAGGGAGTGGTAGTCGTGGGTGACCCCTGGCAGTTGGAACAGAATATCCAAGATCTCGTTAGTGCCGATGTAGACGCTATTGGAAGGCCTCGAGAAGTCCTTGTTGTAAAGATTTCGCCCGTGCTTGTTGTACTTTGCTGTTTGTGGATTGGATTATTATAAGATATCCCCAGTATTAGGAGCAATATATACCGATGCGGGGCAGGATCTGGCGGGTTTGGTGATTTTGAACAACGCCATAGTTGCAAGTTAAGGTGAAGATCGAGTTGTCAGAATAATACTTGGTAAGATCGCCACGAAGGTCATCGCTCTCAAACTCCCGCAAATAGTTTTTGATGAAAACCTGGCCAACCAACTCATAGGCGCCAATGTCACAAAGGAAGTTCTTCTGCACCGATTGTCCAGGATTCGTCTGCAGGTCCACGCCATCCAAGGTGGTCAGCTGCGGAAACACCTGCTTAACCGCCCGAACGTACTCACTGGGCAGACTGTAGTTGCGGCAAAGTGGGTTCCCGTGAAGTACCAGAGATTTGAGAGGCAGATTGCCAAGAAACCTGATCAATTCCAGGTCGTGCACCCAGTTGTGGCTCAGATCAACGGCACGCAGGGAGCCCATTTGCGTTAGGACACCCACTTTCTCCACGGACAGGATCTTATTGCGGCACAAGCGGATCTCCGAGCAGGTGGTCATGAATTGCCGCGATGCCACCGACAGTACGTGCGCCAAAATCTTCGACGAGCTTAGTGACACCACCACGTCCTGCAGGCTCTTGTTGTACTGGAACCGCTCCAGGTTGAGCAGCCGGTTCTGGGGCACATAACACAGCGATACTGCCTTCTGTATGCACTTCTCCGGATCGACATGATGCTGCTTAAACGTGCTCACGTTCATTCGCAGGTAGTAGCGAAAGATCCGACCATCCGGCGGTATCGACATCTCCAGATTGCAACTGTTTACCAAGTGTTCAATCTGATCGAAGCAGTTGCGCACGAGGAAAACGTGATCCGTGTTTATGTACTAATTAGGATGAAATAGATTTGTTAGCCAGGAGCTGGTGGGGAAAAGGATTCGCACACCCACCTTATAGTAGCAGGGATAAAACTCGCTCAGAGACGGATGCAGCATAATAAAGAAAAAGTCGAAGAGCGCCTCCTTGCTGAACTCCTGATTGGGATCGGGTATCTATTAAGGATGATCCATATGTGTGAGTTATCTTGATCGGTTATTATAGTCGTGGGATAGTAAAACCAAACATATGTGGGTATTTTTCGGCTTGACTTCCGCACCATTTTGCTGACATATTGCAGTCCCAGGGATTCCCCGGTCAACCCACCATAAAGGCATGCCAGTCCGGGCTGTTGGCAAACTCGGGCACTTTCCACTTGGTATTTGCATCGATCCGCGATCCATCGGACTCCAAATCTATCTCTCCATCCAGCGGCGAAAAGGACTTTTGCAGCATGTCAAAGGGCTTTCCATCCTGGGAAGAAGTTTTGTATCCATGGTGTGGAAATTTGAATGGAAATGTGTATGGTGCTTACCACCAGCGTGAAGTTATTCTTCAACGGCCTGATGCTAGCCGGAAAGTTCTTAGTCCTGATAATGGGATTATGCTCCAGGAGCAGTTCTCTGGCCCGGAATTGTTCCAGGGCGCGACACAAACGATCGGCTGACTTGATCTGCAGGCAGACTTTACAAGAGGCTTAGGAAACCAGCTGATTTCAACTCACCTTATTGCCCCTCAAGTCGAGCAAGGCGTAATCCACGTTGGCGAACAGGGTCAGGGGGCGCACATTCCGGATCTGGTTGTTGGCCAATATGAATCCGTTCACCCGGAAGCGTTCGGTGTCGTTGTTGTGTATCACCTGGCAGACGGTCATCAGGATGCATGGATTGCCCAGGCTGACCACGATGTTCTTAAACTCTGGATGGTCGCCAAAGCTACCCAAGTCTAGCAGTCCATCCACACCGTCCTTTTGGACCAGACGCTTCATTAACCCAGTGACCACCCGAGCGATGAGGAACGTCGGCGATATCTGGTTCATCTTGTATTGGGCCACGCCCAGTTGGACACTGATGGGCAACGAGCCACCTGCTCCCAGGCTGATAGTGAGTCGCTGGTTGAAGAGATTGTCGATGGCCGCCTTGCAGTTCCTCGCCAGCAGGGTGTCCGCCTTGCTCCCACGCTGAAAATTAAACAAGCTTAGACAACCCCATGCAAGGGATAGGTTGTGAGCGGTACCCACCTGATAGAATACCGGATAGAAGTCCGCACCATTTACCGCTTGGTACAGGGCATCCATGATAATCTGCTGCCGATTCGGCGAGTACTCCAGTTTACCGCGATGGTGCAGGGTGATCTCGTTCCAATGGGAGCCCGGAACCCGATCGCCGTAGCTGTCGCAGTTGCTGAAGATCGTCGTGTCCGGGTAGTCCAGCTGGATGGGCACCGTGCCATCGCCAAAGTCCAGCAGTCGCATCTGGGACGGCATTGCTGAGGACTATTAGATCGCACGATTTCTCACTTGTATTTCAAATCTTTCGCCTGTAAAAGCACTCAGGATGGTAGTGTTGGAAAATGGCGGTTTCAAAAGTTAAGTCCTAACCTAAATGTTAGTTTCGGCGAAGACCAAGTCTAGATACCCTTCCAGTTACAAAAGGAATTGGAAAAAACTTTTGTATGATAGTTTAACCATAAAATATTTATATAAGATATATAGGGGTTAAAATATATTATTCTAATGCACAAAAGAAACTTTCGAAGAATAGAAGTTCTGCTTCTCTTACGATCCTGAACAGGTTTGTAAGCCCTATATGCAAAGTTCGTACTATAATTAAGGAACACTCTACAAGGGTATAGTTATTCTGTTTCAAATCCAAACAAAAATCCGAACCGTTCTCTGCGACAGTCACCGAAAAACTGACGCCCTTCAGATACCATATGGAGTTCGAACTCAATTTTCTGCCTGCCTCGGCATTTTTTCCATTAAACAACTGAAACCCGACCCCGCTAAAACGGCAATGACTCCTTAACACAACAATTTTTAATTGTTTCGTTTGCTTAATGGCTACAAGTCTTGAGAAAAGATGTAATGTGAAATGATAGATGGAATTACTTCTTGGGCGTCTTCTTCTTGGCGCTGGTGTTGGTGTTGGCCTCCTTCTTTCCCTGGTAGAGACCAGTGTAGTAGCCGGACATGTACCAAGCGGTGAGCATGGCTACGAAGTCCTGCTCGGCACCATCGCCTTGGCCAGCGATCATGGGCGGCACCGGAGGCATGGGCGGCATGACCAGCCTGCCGCCCGACTTGAGATTCTTGGAAGGACCAGCAGCGGCAATGGATGACTTGTGATTTTTGAGCTGACCCGCAGGACCAGTCGAGGACTCCTCCTTCTTGGCCTCGAGGAACTGCTCGCGCCTAACCCGCTTGCCCCAGGTGGGCAAGAGGTCCAGGAGCAGCACCTCCTGCTCGTTCTCGTAGCCCAAATAGCGGATGACGCAGGTGCCCTTCTCCTCGTTGATCGACACCACGGCGCCCTCGTAGTCCAGCCCATCTATGTAGGTGGCTCTGGCGTAGTCGCCCACCTTAAAGGACATCGGTTCCTCGCTGGGAGCCCCACCAGTGGCCGAGTCCTCAGCAGCTTCTTCGTCGGCGGCTGCGTTCTCCTCCTCGCGCTTGTTGGTGGAATCGGCCAGTCGGCGGGCGAGAGCTTCGCGGGCCAGTCCCACGGACTGGTCGTATGTCTTTACCAGCAGGGAGTCATCCCACACGGCGGTGTTGGCCTCTTCGGACATCTTGGTTGGCTATTCTATCAGGTCTCTCGTTCAAAAAGGAAGAAACAGGCTTCGGGTTTTTCTTTTGCGAGTTTGCAGAGTGCTGGTAAACGGTGAAAACGGCTACGTTGCACAGCACTGGCTAAAATGCAACTATCGCTTAGGGGTGGACAATTATTACTCAAATGAGCGCGAAATTTTCCAAATTAGGCTTGAATCCTTAATGAACATCATTAAAAAAGAAGACTTCGAGGCAGGAATATACTTTTGGTCCTTCAGGAAAACATGGAATATTTTCCTTCCAGCGTCGGAGAATTTAGCTACTTCCAAAAACTTATTCAAGATGAAAACTAAGAAAAACTCAAGAAGTACCATCCAAAAGTAAATATATGATGGCTGGCATCAACGATCGCATAATAGGGGTCAACTCCTATCAGATGTCTATCCGTGAATTTGGACAACTATCGAAATTGCGTTCAACTAAGAAAAAGAAAGCTCCAAGAAATTTGCAGAACTTTTAATATTATTTTTTTTTTTAACTATCTAAAATAAAATTATTTTATTTTTACAATGGAAAATCTAGTGCCATATCCTGGTTTTGTTATAAGCTGAGAACAAAGAACACATTTTTTAAAATTTTAAAATTTCGACGGAACGATAATATAAATTGTCATCGGTATCGAACCCACGATAGTTTTGAACACTGTTCACATCTCTAATACAACATAAACAAACCATTTCGACCCGATTTGAGAATAAATCTAACTTATTTCTGTAACCCGCTCGAACGGGGAAGCCCAATAAATCTTTTACTTCTCCCAACAGAAAGTAACTGAATATACAAGGAAACATAACTATTTTTGTATCTGGCTGTCAATATTCTTCATACGAATGTAAGTTTGGGATATAGTTTAGATCCAGGTATAAATTTATTACTCCGTTTCAGAGCTATGGGGTCTTCAGTGTGCCGTGTTTGTCTGGCAAATTCCGAGAATATGATCAATATTTTCGATGTGATAGAAAGAAATCCAATTTCGACTATGCTTTCTGAGTGTACCGGATTTAAAGTTCAGAAAGGTGACCGGTGTCCAGAAAGTATTTGCACATCCTGCCTGCAGGATGTAAAAGTTGCGTTTAAGCTTAAGAAAACATACGAAAGGAGTCGCCAGATCTACAGCCAGTTAAATAGGGATTCATTGGAGGACGACATACTCGAGGAATCAAACACTGAAGAAGGAGGTCTTGAGTATGTTAGCCAAGTTAAAGAAGAAAGCGATGATCTTCAATGTAAGGAGGATTCACTTAGCTACCTTTGCCAAGTAAAGAACGAACCACTTGAAGAAGACATGCTTGAGGAGCAGCACAGTCCCTTATCAGAGGACAATATCGATCAGTGCGATAGCCAAGTGAAGATCGAGCAAACAATATATGATGGATCCGATGAGGACCATGATTCTGTTGATAATGAAAGTAAGATATATAGTCCGAATAAATGCCCACAGTGTCCAAAGACTTGCAAATCAAAATCTGATCTTAAGCGACACTACCGCAGCCACACAAGAGAACCATTTCGCTGCTCCGTTTGCTCAAAGATTTTTGCAAATAGAGCGAATCTTTTAAGGCATTTCGTTATCCACACGGGAGAACGGCCTTTCGAGTGCTCCCGATGTCCAAAGACGTTCACCCAGGCCGCAAATCTTCAGATACACATGCGACTCCACACAGGAGAACGTCCTTTCCAGTGCTCCTATTGCTCTAAAACCTATACTTTAAATTCACATCTTCAGGTACACCTTAAAACCCACACGGAAGGGCAGTTCCAGTGCTCTCAATGCTCAGACATGTTTAATAATGGATCAGATCTTATGTTACACGAGCGACTGCACGCAAGAGACCAACCACTAAGTTGTACCCACTGCTCAAAGGTTTATATAAGGGAGTCACATCTTCGGAAACACTTGCTAACCCACCCAGAAGAACAAAATTATAAGTGTACCCACTGCTCAAAAATGTTCTCAGACGATTCCGTTTTTCAAAAACACTTACGAACCCACGAAGAGGGCAACATCGATCAGTGCGATAGCCAAATGAAGATCCAGGAAACAAAAGACGATGGAACTGATGCCATTAATAAAGACCACGGTCTTCTTAATAATGAAATTAATCCTTATAGTCCGCATAAATGCACGCATTGTCCGAAGATTTGTATATCAAAATCAGATCTTAAGCGACACTTGCGGAGCCACAAAAGAGAACCGTTCCAGTGCTCCGTTTGCTCTAAGATTTTTGCGAATGGTGCTAATCTTTCAAGGCATTTGGTTATCCACACAGGAGAACGGCCTTTCAAGTGCTCCCGATGTCCAAAGGCGTTCACCCAGGCGGCAAATCTTCAGATACACATGAGACTCCACACAGGAGAACGTCCTTTCCAGTGCTCCCTTTGCTCTAAGACGTATACTTTAAATTCCCATCTTCAGGTACACCTTAAAACCCACACGGAAGGGCAGTTCCAGTGTTCTCAGTGCTCAGAAATTTTTGAAAATGGAACAGATCTTATGTTACACGAGCAACTGCACGCAAAAGAACAACCACTAAGTTGTACCCACTGCGCAAAGGTCTATATAAAGGAGTCGCATCTTCGGAAACACCTGCTAACCCACTCAGAAGAACAAAATTATAAGTGTACCCACTGCCCAAAAACTTTCTCAGACGACGCCATTTTCCAAAAACATTTACGAACCCACAAAGAAACACGAACTTTCCAATGCTCCCTTTGCACAAAGGCTTTTACAAGTGGTTCCAATCTTTCAAGGCATTTTGTTACCCACACCGGAGAACGGCCTTTCAAGTGCTCCCGATGTCCAAAGGCGTTTAGGCAGGCCGCATATCTTAGGATACACATGCGACTCCACACAGGAGAACGCCCATTCCAGTGCTCCCATTGCTCTAGGTTTTACACCACGAATTCGCATCTTCAAATACACCTGAAAAGTCACAAAGAATAATAATTTTCAGAGCTTCGAGAGGCGAAGCCTTTTTCCTTGCAAATGCACGTAGGTGCCAACACAGGATTTATACGTAAGTATATTTATAGAGTACTTATCATAATATCTAAAAAAGATTTCACGCCTGATTTGTTATTGCGCCCTAGGCGGTACATTACATTTAAAAAATAAACTATTTTAAAAGACCAGTAAAGTAACAATAAGGAAACACCAGATTTTAAAATTTATTTAATTAAATTTTTAAAGAAAAAATCCTTAGTTTCGTTGAACTTTGTTTTCAGAAATCTCTTTTAGACATAGGGAAATTGCCAAATAACTGAAGGGCTGTAATATTTGTCATCATATTTTGCAGGGAACTGCCTAATCCGCCAAGATTTGGAAACCTTTTTGGAACTCCCTGCGATAACAACAATCGATAGGTCCACGTAAACATCGAATGCACAACCTACACGGCTGCTCGACGGCCATTGTCATCTCTAAAAAAAAGCGAAAATCATCTTGCTTGCGGGATCTGCGAAAATCAATTTAGCTTAAAACAAACGAACAATGGCCACCGTGGAAGCCCTCTACAAGGAACTGACCGCCGAGTGGGCGAAGCGGCCACCGAACACCGTTAAGTGCGGCCAGCTGCTGGATCAATTGAAAGTGGCCCTGGTGAAGATGGCCTTCCTGCCCACGGATGGAAACGACGCCCAGAGCTCCAAGAAGCAACTTATCCTGGCCAGAAGCGTGCTCGAGGTGGCCGTGGAGCACAGCGTGCTCAGCAAGGACCTGCTCGCCTTCGAGCGCTACATGGCGCAGCTGAA